TAGCAGCTGGTTTGGATTCCTGCATGTTGGTTGTGTGAAGTAGATTAGCAATATAAGTTGCTTGAGACAAGTAGAGACAATCTTTCTGCCGCAACACTTCCACACCAACGAAATACTGCAAATTACCCAGATCTTTAATAGAAAAATGACTCGCAATGGAATCAATTGTACTCTGAATGCCAGAAACTGAACTTCCAGTAACAATGAGATCATCGACATATACAAGTACAAAAATAACAGCAGAAGCCGTACGGCTTATAAATAGAGAACAATCCGATTCAGATTTGGCAAAACCCAAGGAGATAAGATGATTTTTAAGAGTAGTATACCACGCACAAGGAGCCTGCCACGCACAAGGAGCCTGCTTTAGCCCATAAGTAGCTTTGCGAAGCAAACAAATGTGAGAGGGAAACTTAGAATTCTCAAAACCCAGAGGTTGTGTCATGTAGACTTCCTCATCAAGATTGCCTTGAAGAAAGGCATTATTGACATCTAATTGACGCAAAGGCCAGTTATATTGAATTGCAAGAGACCACCAATCTGACAGTGGTTGGCTTGACCACAAGACTGAACGTCGAATGATAATCGATGCCTGGGCGTTGCGTGAACCCTTTGGCAACTAACCGTAACCCTTTGGCAACTAACCGTGCTTTAAACTTGTCAACAGAACCATCAGATTTTCGTTTAATCCTATGTTTAATCCTATATAACCATTTGCAAGCAACAATATTCTTAGAGGGATCATATGGAACAAGTTCCCAAGTTTGATTTTTCATTAATGCATCATACTCTACTTGCATACCTGTCCGCCATTCTGGGTTTTTGTTGGCTTGGGCAAAGGTATTGGGTGGGGGAGTAGGTAAAACTTGTGCCATGTAGTCAAAGATTTTCTTGGGTTTGTAAATTTGATTTTGGGAACGGGTAACAACACGAGAGGGAGGAGGTTGTGGTATTGTTGCAGGTAAATTTGAAGAGATGGGAGTAGGGATAGGTGGAGAGGATGGTTCACGAGTAGGAATGGGTGAAGGTATAGGTGGAGATGGGTCAGGTGTATGTATGAGTGGAGATACCAGTGGAGATGGTGTTGTCACAGCAGCTGTTGTGGCACGATCGGAGTTCCCAGAGTCACAAGTGGGCACAGTTTTAGAGTTTTGGGTGTTGGAATTCACAGGGGAAGGAAGCACGGGTATAGGACAAGGTAAAGGTTGAGTGGAAACGGGATTAACGGAAGAGGATTCCTGATGTGAGGTGGGAGAGTGAGATTGGGTTAAGTCAAACCAATTGAGAGACTGATTAGATTTAGAAGTGGAGCCAAGAGAGAACATGGACTTGTATGGGAAAATATGTTCAATAAACCGGACATCACGAGACAAATAAATTTTAGAATTGAGAGGATCAAAACATTGATGACAGTAATGGCACAGTGAAAAACCTAAGTAAACACATGGTGTAGATCTTGGAGCTAGTTTATTAGGAGAATAAGGTTTTAGCCATGGGTAACATAAACATCCAAAGGTGAGGCTTTCTCAATGTTGTTGGTGGCAAGTGAAACTCTTTTAAATGGAGGAAAACACGGATGCTGCCCAAAAAAAAAAAGCAAACCTTTTTTTTTTTGTGCAAAAAAAAACAAAAAAAGTTCTCCCCCCCCGGCCGATGAGAACTGGAGGCCATTTTGGAACATTTTACTGGAAATATGTCCAATATGGTGACTTGAAAACGTCCCGGAAATTTTCCACGAGGATATGAGCAGAACGATCCCGGAATGATTTTGTGCAGAGGTCGGAAACTCCCAAAAAAGCTCCCGGAGCGAGAACATGGTGGGCGCACCACCAAGCTACGGCAGCGCCGGCCGCCGACACCGGCGGCAGCTGGCCGCCCCACCGAGGACTATGGGCGGTCAGCTCGCCCGGCATGGGCGACACCTGCCCGCCCCACCGACTGGGCGGGCACTACCGCCCTCCCAGGCGGCACTGCAACCCAGCATGGGCCGGCACCTTGGCCGCCCAACCGACTGGGCAGGCACCTGGCGCCCCAGTTTGGGCGGCAGCTGCCGCCGAGCCAGGCGGCACCTGCCGCCCTGGACCCGAAAATGGCCTATAAATAGACCATTTTCAGCCTATTTTGACACCCCTGTCTGTGTTGACGGACGATCTTTCTCCCTCCCACGCTCCTTGCGTTTTTCTTTACCGCTTTTTGCATTTTAATTTTTATTACATTATTGTTGTGATATTTGGCCACTAAAATTAAATAAATTAAAATTGATTAATATTTCCCAAGCGAGGAGCTTAATCTGGAATTAAGAAGCGGTCGCCGATTAAATCAGGTATGTAAACGAAACTCTGCCTATTTAATTTCAGCACTAACTTCTGGCCTATTTAATTTTAGCACTTCATAATATTTCTCGTCTACTCTTAATAATTCTACAATTGCAATAAATGCCATCCACGTCATTATTTTTGGTAAACTAAACTGCCTTAATTTAATTTGATTAAGTTAAATGCCCGGGGTTAAATCAATAATCGTGGTATTAATAGTTGTAATCCGACAATATTGGCTAAAAGAGCCTAGTTAATCAATAAACTAAGCGTGTCTAATTGCCTTATTTCGAACAAATCCGGCTAAGTCAATTAATGCAATATATTGTGCTAAAAGCCTTAATCAATTCACGTTTCTCAGAACAATAAATTCTGTGATTAAGTCGAACGCCCGATTAATAACGATAATCGTGACATTAAATGCTAAATCGCACATTTTGGCAAACTAATTCGTAAACACAACAGAACATTTGGCCAAAGGCCTTAAAATCAAATGCATTTGGGCGACAATTCCGCCTAAATCTCTTACATTTTTGGCAAAACTAATTGCCCCTACACACACACTTTTTGGCTAAAGGCCTAGAATCAACCATTTTCAGCACAAATCGCTTAAAATCATCTTTTGGCAAAATGCCCCTAAAATCACCATTTTCGCTTAAAACCGTAAAATCACCATTTTGCGACAATCGCCTAATTCGCACATTTTTGCAACAATTGCCTAAAAAATTCATTTTGGCTAAAAGCCATTAAATCAACTTTTGGCAACATGCCGTAAAAATCAATCAATCCTTTGGCGAAATGCCTAAACAAAATGCACAAAGCATACACACACTCATGGCACGAAGCATACACACAACATGCACAAAGCAATAACATGCACAAAGCAAATACACACTTATGCCAATCAAAGCAAATACACACTTATGCAACAAAGCATCACACACTCCATGCATTAAGCTTACACCCTTCCAAAGCCCTCTAAAAAGAAGGCCTATCGAACTAGGTTGACTTTGATCTTCCATTCAAATGGAAGTACGTAGGCACGTTCGGGATTTCACCCCGGGTGGCAAGTCGAAATCACTTAAACATTTCATTGATCCATCATTCACCCTTGCAAAACACTCATTCATCGGTTAGTTTATCAGCATGACATAGTCTCGGGATCCACCTCGATTTCGTAGATTGTGCCTTAATCATTGGGATAATTAATCTAGTAACTAGGTTAATTAAAAATGGAGTCATTCAGGTTTTTTTCCTAGTTTACCCTAAAATAATTAAACAAGGTGGCGACTCACACACTCACACATCACGTGTATTTCTTCTCATTCATCATATGATCACATGCCTAGACATTTGGGAAGGGGTTCACATAGCCATGGGTAAACATAACACATCCAAGGTTTTTTAGTGACAAGTAATCGGTTGTTTTTGAAATAATAGGGAGAATGATTGGCTAAAGTGTGAGTGGGCATTCTGTTGATTAGATAAACGGCATGATGACATGCAAAGGACCAAAGGTTGGATGGAAGAGATGCGTCATAGAGTAATGTTCGGGCAGTTTCTTTCAATAATATGGCGGTGTCGGCGTTCAGCAGTGGCAACCCGTTGTGGAGTATATGGAGGGGATTTCAAATGTTCTATTCCATGTAGGTTAAGGTATGAATCAAGAGCCTGAAATTCACCACCACCATCAGTATAAAAGGAGAGAATTTTGGAATTGAAATGTCTTTCAACTAAAGGATGAAATTTTTGAAAAATTGATGTCACCTCATTTTTTTGTTTTAACGTGTAATGCCAAATATATTTTGTATATTGATCAACAAAGATGCAATAATATAATTTTTTTTCTCAACAGACAAAGTGGGAGAGGGACCCCATAAATCAATAAAAATAGTTTGAAGAGGCTTTGAACTTGTTAATGTAAGTTGAGAAAATGGTTGCCTATGAGCTTTATTAGAATGACAGGAATTACAAAAAGATAATTTGTCTTGAACTGAAACAGAAATAGAACATTGATTTAAAATAAGATGCAGAAGAACTCTATCATGAGGATGACCGAGTCTACAATGCCAGGTTTCAAGAGAACTAGTGGAGGTTGCTGTGTGAGCTGTAGGGAAAGAGCAGGACAAGGGAGTCTTTGGCCACTCGTATAATCCATTATTACTCCGACCATGCACCAACGGCTTCCTAGTTGCAAGATCCTTGACAACAAAATCAGAGGGAAAAAATTCGACTGAGATTAAATTGTCTTGACAAAATTTATTAACAGAAATTAAATTTATTTGAATTTGAGGAGCACAAATGGTATTAGACAGCTGGAAAGCTTCGTTAGATGCATATAAATGAATAGAACCAGTGTGTGTAATTGGGATTTTGTTACCATCACCCATTGCTACTTCTTCAAAACCAGTGTATTCAGGCATGTCCTGAGGATCAGCAGTGATATGATGGGTGGCACCGGAGTCGATATGATGGTGGCACCGGAGGTCGTAGGACCCATGGTTTTCTGACATTTGAGAAGGCTGAAACAAAATTAGCTCTGGCTTGAAGATGAATGTATGTGACTGCTGCGACACACCTACGACACACAGATGCAGTGTGACCATATTTGTTGCATAATTGACAAGTGACTCCATTGTAGGAAGTGTTAGAGGATGGTGGACGCCAAGTTGGTTGTTGAGTTGGTTAGTGATTTGGTCTATTTGGACGCCACTGGTTTGGCTGGAAGTTGGAAGGTTGCTGGGTATTATTAGAAAAACACCGATTGGATCGACCATTGCAAGCAGTGTACGTAGCTTGACTAGCTACAACTGTGGGAATAGCTGAGGAGACTGATTTTACTTCACTTTGAAGACAAAGTTCATGGTCTAGAAGTTTTTCACAAAGTTCTGGGTACTCAATTGGGACACTCCTGTTGCGAATTGCAGCTGCTACTTCTCGATAATTTGAGTTTAGACCACTGAGAATTTTAACAGTAAGCTCAGGTTCCGCCATTGGAGAACCTGCAGCAACAAGTTCATCGGCAATTTCACGAATTTTATGAAGATATTCGGTGATACTTTTGTCATCTTTTTGTATGCGACTGAGTTGATCGCACAAGCTATAAATGCGTGTATGACTTTTGTTGGCATAGGTGTTGTGAAGAATTGTCCATGCTTGAGCAGAGTTGGAAGCATTACCAACAATGGAGGTTACCAACAATGGAGCAATGTTTGGATCAACAGAGGCCATCATTTGCCTTGAATGAATGAGGCCGATACCTGCTGTAACCATAAACGGTATCTGGGGTTGGGTTGAGAGGGTGTTATCTTGAGTGATTTTTTTGGAGAGACGGTTGGTGTCCACAAGACTGAACCAGCAAGTCATTGCCAATCAAGAAGAAAGTTAATTGAGTTTTCCAGGGGAGAAATTGGAACTGCCTTTGAGCTTAAATAGCCAATTGAGCAATAGGGTTGAACTGGTATTATTTGATGGGTGAGGTATTTGGAAGTAATGTTTATCAAAGTATGGGTGAGGTTGGAAGTAATGTTATCAGAATTTAGAATGTTTGCCATGGGAATAATTGTGTGAAAAGAAAAAAAAAATATGAATCAAAGACTCTTTTGAGTTATAAGAGCTCTGATACCATAATATATATAAAAGTGAAGAATGAATATTGTATATCTTATTCCCAGTAAACAAGCGTTTAAATACAAAGAGAATAAACTGAATTCCTTAGCAGTAGGAATCAGTAACAAACTAATCCTATCATAATAACTCAATCTCAACATAATCAAAAACAAATAATACAAAGTCAAAGATATGGGAAGAGGTACAGATATACTGCTAATAGTTTGAATGATTCTTTTATCTCTTTAGCTATTATTTTACTCAGCGGTATATACACGTTAAAGTCAACATTTTATTTATTTTTTTATAAAATTATGCATAGGGTCATAAAATTAATAGAAATCTATGTATATAAAAAATTTACATAAAATTAACAATTGTTTTCTTCTATATAAAGATGTATTGAAAATAGTTAAGAAATTTGTTATTTTATGAGCAACAAAAAATTTTTTTGATTAGAATTAAAGATACCAGTGCATTTTCAGGAATTCATCCCAAGTCAATGGGCTTCCTCAATAAACATTTGTGTATATTTTTATAATTGAGTAAGTGTTAAAATTCATTTTATATAAAATTAATTGGTTTTATTTACTTTTATAAGTTGTGAATTTCTTTATGATAATTAAAAGAAATCAAATTGAAAATTTTATTAAGATTAAATCATATACAAATATGGAATATACATAAATATATTATTATATTTTTGTATAGAAAGGTCTGCTAATAACCACTTATACAAAGAATAAAAAAATATATTGATTAATATCGGATTGAGTTGACACAATATAATACATGTGCAATAAGCGACTCCTCGCTTCACTTGGTGGCTATTCATGACCACTGTTCGACTCATTGATTTCTCTACAAGTTCAATCTAATTGCCTTTAATTTTCTTTCTTATATCAGAGAAGGGATTTACACTTCTTTCTACATAACTGTCGAAATAATAAAATCATAATGGTGACAATAAAAACCAAAAATTATCAAAACAACTAAATAACACATATGACTCTTAAATTTTGATAGTTCCACATAAAATTTAATTATTAATTATAGTGTTATATAAATATTGACATTAATTATCATTCAATTATCATAATTAATACATATTAGTAAATAATTATGATTATTATAGTATTGTAACTTATCTTTCTAATTAAAATTACATAATATTGATTTTAATTGTCATGCAATTTTCATATTAATATGTATTAAATAATTAAACTTATTATAATATTACAATCTATTTTCTAATTAAAAATTATCATAACATTGATGTTATTATCAAATTAATATATTATTATAATATTGATATTGAATATCATTATAATCAATCATACTTATCATTTATTATTATAAATGAAAATTTTATATTGAAAAGAATGATAAAGAAGGTTAATAGTAAAAATATTTATTAATAGCTTTATTAACAATGGATATCCAAATGTTTAAATATTTATTAATAGATCAATTGTTTTTTTGTAATTTCAATTTTCGACATTGATATATTTTTTCTCTTCTAATTTCTATTACTCTATCAAATTAGGAAAAGCTTGATAAATCATAAAAAAAGCTATGAAATTATTATTAAAAATGATATATATACATAATTATACACGTCTAAAATGCATTGAATTTCTAAGTGTCCATTTTATTATTTTTAATATTATCTAAAAAATTTAATTAATTCAAAATAATTAATATATATTTCCTTTTCTTTCAATTTGGTTATAGACATTGCTTTTATATAATGAACTAATATTTTGATTTGAAAGATGATGTTTCTTTAATTATAAGGAATAATTTAACAAAAAAAATTAATAAATATGAAATTAAAAATAATTTAAATTATAAATTTTTTCTTTAACTAAATTATATATTTTACTGTGCAGCACGTGCATGCTGCTAGTTTAGTACAATGATTTGCAACATATGTTAAAAATACATCACTAATTAAAAAAAAATGAAATATGAAATATTAAAGTAAGGCCATGTGTCACCTTGCCATTGGTGGAGAAGATGACATTATATTAGCCATGAATCACGTCTTGGCCGCCAATAGGCTAGTGGCAATCAATTGTAACACACACCAGTGTTAACGGGTGAAGCTAAAAGATAAAGGGTGCCACTTTTTTCTTATAATATTCATGAAAACGCGCGATGAACAGATTAATATAAAAAAAAATAAAATAATATTTTATAATATTATTAAAATAATAAAATTATATAATAAAATGATCGTAAAATGCATTATAAAATTGTATCTTATTGAGATATACTGAAAAAAGTTGTGATATTAAGATGTGTCTTTTTAAGTATCATATGAAGTCTTTCACCAGGGCATGCAATAGCAAAAAAGTCATGTGTGGTATGACCTACATCAAAAAGTGCTCACTCACTATTAATGTGTTTTTAATAGTGATAATAATTTTGAGAATTTAACTAATTAATAAGAAATTAAGAATTTTTTATTTTATATTTATATTTATGATTTATTATAAATAATTATTTATTTATTTGAAATATTAGCGTATTATACTTATTTAGTGTAATGTGTTCTAAGCGTGCGAATGTCCTACCATTTTAAAAATTATCATATCCCATGTGTTATCATATATTGTGTCCCATCTCCGTACAACTTAACTCTTGGTATATAAAACTACTCCATACATAGATCAAAGTTTTTTTTATTACCAATAAAAAATGAAGTGTTTTTTAAATTTATTTTTGCGTTTATTTTTTATTAATGAATGATTAGAAATACTTTCGTTATAATTAAAAACCTATTTCAGTAGTCTTAATAATTTATTCGTCTTTGCCATACTCTAAAATTATTTCTCACCAAGGAGAGATTTTTTAATCAAAACTACGATAAATAAATTGCAACTAGAGGAGGTTAGCTCTAGGCTACATGTTGATCAGTTCAGTTGAAAATTTAACTAATTATATTGAAATAAGAAATTAAGTATTTTTTTATTTTATGTTTATGATTTATTATAAATGATTATTTCATGCATTCTCATTAATCAATGCATCCTTATTTTATTTATTTTTGAAAATATTAATTATTTATACTTATTTTAAAGTGTAATGTGTCATAAAGCGAGAAATTAAGTATTTTTTTATTTTATGTTTATGATTTATTATAAATGATTATTTATTTATTTGAAATATTATTATTTATACTTATTTAGTGTAATGTGTCATAAGCGTGTGAATGTCCTACTTTTTAAAAATTGTCATATTATGTATATTCTCATATCTCGTATCCCATGTCCATGCAATCTAACTTCTGATATATGAGATTATACATCAAATTAATCAACCTAAAGTTTTTTTTTATTATCAAGAAAAAATTATGTGTTTTTTTTATTAATGATGAATTTCATACGATTTACTATTATTTGTATTTTTTTTTAAACCCAAACCATAAACTGTAAATTTCATAGGTAATTGTAAACGTATCATTTTATTAATGATGAATTTGATATGATTTACTATTATTTGTATTTTTTAACCCGAAAATGTAAATTCCATAGGTAACTCAATCCCGTTAAAATATCAAAACATTAATATCTTACTATAGTCTTCATTGTGTAGTTGGATTTGAACACAAGTGTTTTTTTTTTTTTTTTTTATAATTTTATTTATTTTTTAAAATTTTATTTATGATAAAAATATTATCTGAAAATATAAAACAACTGATCTTCTTACAATTGTACTAAATAATTGTTCTCCTTACACTTTGCAATTTGACTGATTTACACTTGACTGTTATTTACGATAGTATACTATACTTTTATACATTGTATAGATGTGTCAATATAGCTATCCCTCGTCCTTAAACTTATAACATTTCCCTCTATCATTCCTAAACTTCAATTCTTCCCTTAAAAATTATCAATCTTTTATAAGCACGACAGTAAAAGAAACTCACGTAATCAACGAAAATCTATTAGAGAACTGACGTGGAGAACACTATCATAAAATACATAAAACGTTTTTGCCACATTAGCCATCCCACTTAGCTTCATCTCTCTCTCTCTCTCTCTCTCTCTCTCTCTCTCTCTTTCTCTCTTACTTCTCCATCTTCTTTTTTGCCACATTAGCCATCCCACTTAGCTTCATCTCTCTCTCTCTCTCTCTCTCTCTCTCTCTCTCTCTTACTTCTCCATCTTCTCCTCTCAATTCTAAGCTCAACTTTCTTAAGCGTCCCTAATCGCTAGTCGTTATAGTTCTCCGAGCTCATTCGTCTAATACGATTCCAAATCTTTATATTCTAGGTAAATATGGGGAAATGGGTCGGATTGGTGGATGTTTGGTAGAAGGAAATAGTGATGGTGGGAGTAAACGCTACTTCCCTCGTCTTTTCTCCTCCCAATATTTTTTTGCTTCTTATCAAACACCAACATGCCTTTCTCTCTCCTCCTATTCCAAATCAATCATCAACAGGAACTCAAAGAACACTTAGTTCAATATGTTAAAAATGGAAATGTTCATAGCTCCATCGACATCTACTCTGAAATGTTTTAGTGATTTTTCTCTGAGTGCTTCTACTAGTCCTTTGTGTATGATGGAATTATATAGCAGTTTTGAATCTTTTGATGCCTGGGAATCAAATCATCGAACACCTAAATCACCTAATGCAATAAATATGAGAGATTTTTTTTTTTTTTTTCACTTTTCAAGTTAAGAATTAGATGAGAATTCTATATTGATAGAAGAGCTTTGCGATAGAGGTAAAATCAAGCTATTGAAGCCTCTGCCTTGATCATAAGTGGAAGAGAGAAGTCCACTTTTATCACAGAGGTCACCTAGGTCACTAATAGCTCAAGGGAAAAATATTATTTTGAGAAGGTTTTTCATTAAGAAAGAAGAAAGAATCATATCTATTTGCTATAGCAGATGAAAACACTCGAGTTTTTTTTTTTTTTAATTGCTTTCATTTTTCTTATTGGGCTTTTTCTTAGGTAAATTATATCAGTGGTCACTTAATTTTACACTCAGTTTTATTTAGATCAATAAATTATAATTTGTCATTTTTAGTCATTAAACTTTAATTTTTGTTTCAACGAGAGATCACTTACCGGAATCCAGTAATCGGACTAATAATATGATATTAACAATTTATACACTTTTTCTGTTCCAAAAAGATAGTCAATCTTTCCTTTTTGGTTTGTCACAAAATATAGTACACTTTCCTTTTTTGCATTGTAGTTAATATACCCTTATTAAATTTTATCTTATTTCAATAACTTTATTAATTCTTACTTATTATTTCAATATAATAATTGCTCATGTGTTATTTAAATATGGGCATAATCGGAAAGTTATATGAACAAAATTGTCCTTGAACCATAATAATTGTTATTCTTAATATGTGTAAAAATAGAAAGCGGATTATCTTTTTGAGACGGAGGAGAGTATATCACAAAAAAAAAAACATGATCACAAAGAAATATAAAAAAGAAAAGGAAAAAATGTCACAAAATGTAAACGATAGAGTGAAAATTTTTATATCTTTTATTTTATTTAAAACTTGTTTCATATAAAAAAATATTATTTGTTAAATAAATTAACAAAAAGATTTCAAATAATGTATTAGGAGAAAATACGAAATTTTTAGAATAAAAGATTTTATTTTATATTGCCATATTAGCATCTCTAACGATGGTATTCCGGTAAGTAATCTTCCGTTGAAACAAACATTAAAATTTAGTGACTAAAAAATGATAAATTAAAATTAAGTGACCTTATAAAACTAAATGTGAATTTAGGTACCCGATACTATAATTTACCCAGTGTTTCTTTCTCTTATTTCCCTGGGATTGAGCTCCATCTCTTTCTCTTATTTCCTTGGGATTGAGCTCGATGATGGAGAATGGAGGTGGTATGGGGTATACACAGAGAATCTATGAGTTATAAAAATTTAAATCTTTTTTTAAGCCACATTTTTCACGTGGCATTCCGATAGTTAGAATTCTTTTAATTTAAGAAAGGGGAGTAAAATAGTCTAATAGATGCAAAAGTTAGTGAAGAGCTAATTATTTATTCAAATTAAATCAAGGACTTAATAGTAATTAAAGTCAAACTCAATGGAGTAGCGTTTAACCCTTTTATGTAGAGCCATTAGGAAAAACTTGAAACTGTGGTTTTGTATATAAAAAGGTGAAAATGTTAAATCCAACGTTGTTCTCAATAATATGATGGTGAATGCAATTCCATCCCATTGGGTGGAATGTACTTATTAAGAGCATGTTAGGTCTCAGAAATTTTTTCCATTAAGTTCATGCTCCTTTTCTAAGACATATACCCTTTTACACATTGGTTGGCAAAATTAAGGATCAATGCTATATTTAAAAGAATTACTTAGGACCAAATGTTGATCTTTTTTTTTTTTCCCCTCCATTCATGTAAGATGTACTTTACACCAACTATTGTTGTATTAGGCACCAAACATTTTTAAAAATTCTTAGTTGACAAATAAGTTTTCTTATATTTAGAATTTCGATACCAAACTATAAATAAAATATATTTCTTCTTTATATTTAATTTGGGATATAACTAATATTTTTTTTATTCAATGAGATTTCAAATGTGCCTGAACAATATTGTAAGCTATATTATGATAAGAGTAATCTTTCGCTACACACACTAAATTAGTTAAAATTCTTATAATCAAGAGATTCGATAGGAGATCAAACTAGTTTGAATAACATTATAGATACATAATATAAATAATTCTACTTCTAAATTAATAAAAACTATTATGGTCAAGAGGACTTGAATTCGAGCTCTCTCCACTTTCTTTTTCACTTCTATAGATTCTTAAAGAAAGTGAGAAAACTAACCAACTACACTTAATTGAAATAAGTATTCGATCTTTAATCAAAGTGAAAAATAAACTTAACATAGCATGTTAACTTTGATTAGTAAATATATAATACATCATCAAATTTAAAAAAAAAAAAAATTAACGAACAAGTTGATTGAATGGTAGGTAGCCTTAATTTTCATAAAGTTAATAACATAAGTTTAATTCTTAAGAAATACATTCATTAGAATGAAAAAAAAAAAAAAAAAAAAAAAAAAAAAAAAAAAAAAAAAAAAAGAAAAAAGAAAGAAAGAAAGAAAGAAAGAAGGGTGTAAGAATTGTTAATCTCTAATAAATTGTTCATGAATCACAACCAACGTCTCCTAAACGTGCTGTTAATAAATTAATTTCCTGACATATTTTGGTCTTGTGTCTTGGGTTCGGTAGCTAATTACTCTTTGTATCAATATTTCCCATCTAATTCTTATCATATTGAGAAAAATAATATATTCCTCGCATATTTCTACATTTCGTTAGAGACCAAATTGTAAATAGAAAACTTAATTTGTCGTTTTGATAAGCAAAAGTCATTTTTAATTAGTCGACTAATTAAAAGGAGAAAACTATTCACAAAATAAGCCAGCAGACAACGTGATATGCTTTATAATTTCAACAAATTGATAACAAGATTTTACTTAAAATTTGACTTTTAATGGTAATGGATAAAAAAAGGCATGTGTAGTAATAATTAAAGTAATAAGTCTAATAATTTGAAAATGATTTAATTTGTATGTATATCATAGTTGTAGTTGGTGACAAGTATGACGATAGGGCAAGGTTCAATCTAGGGTGGACACATTTCAGAACTTGTGCCACTGCCCGGATGCCGCCTCCCAACGACTTTCTTTGACCTTTTGCATCAACCAAAACTAGATTATAGACTTCTCATCCAACCAAATCCATTGGTATCATTATCGGATCGGATAAAATGCGTATATTCAAGTAAGAGAGTACTCTTTTTGTACGGAAATATAATTTGCTTAAAATTTTTATAAAGATAGAGTACTCTTTTTGTACGGAAATATAATTTGCTTAAAATTTTTATAAAGATTAAAAATAATTATATAATTTTTTTTAAATTATAACAAAATTAAAGGTAATTTAATCAAATTATTTTTTATCCCAATGTCTATGATAACTTATGAAAATAGTTATTGTATCTAATATAAATAAGGATAATATTAAAAAAATATCATTCGTTAGTTTTTAAAATACTTAAAACTATTTATATTTTGAAACAAAACAATCACTCTAAAACGACTTATATTACGGAGACAGAGGGAGCATTCAAGTAAAAGACTCACAGAAATAATAATCTTATTTTTTAAACCTATAACCTTACAGATAAGATTCAGCTGAAAATGTACTTCACCTCCAATGATCCAACCATCTATTGTTGATAAGTCCAATCTATCTATTTATCTATCTATCTATATAAATATATAAAAACAGAACCTTCAAAGCTCAAATGGCACAAAACTAGAGCTTTGAAGTTCTGCTTTGAAGTTCTGATTCTTTTTTTTTTTTATGTATTTTTAATTTATTGTTTTAATATATAATTATTAATTATTATCATTTATCAATACAATGTGGGGAATTTATTTTTGTAATGGTCCTTTGTTTGTATTATTGGTAATCAACTAACTGTAGCCTTAAATTTAAATGAATAGTTCATGAATAGAGCAGGCAAAAGTAGTGTAACCTAAAGATTGATCATAAAAATAAATAATTCCTCCATTTCCTCTCTCTCTGTCACCTTCTGGGAGAGGAAGCCACCAGAAACCAATAACAATACGGTAGAAAAAAAAAAAAAAGTTTCCATCACAATCTATGATCGAAGTTTTTGAACATGCCACAATATTAGAGTTGCACCAAATTTGATGATCTTCTTGGTTTACAAAAGTTACCCAAGTAATACTTTTCTTTTAATGAAAGAAATCCGGTAATAAGATTTCTTTTCTTTTTCTGTATAATTAATTATTATATTTATGAATTTGTTGCTTTCTATTAATTTCTCTTAAACCTTATTCTTCTTACAAATAATAAAAGATCTTTCAAGATTATTGGTTTAATTAGATTATTGGTTTAATTTTTTTTGGTTTAATTTTTATTTGATTAGTTTTGATTTTTTATCTATTTTGTTTACTATGTTTGTATATGAATTGGACCTTTGGCATGGTTAAATTTGTGTTAACCTTTTTTAATCTTTTTATTTAGTTTCCTTCTAAAATTGAAATTTAGATTCCCAAACTTTGGTGAAACAATACACCAGTTTTTTATCTTTTTTATCATCATTTGTCTCATTTTATAGAATCGATACCCTTGAAATATTGATTCACATATGGTGCACTCAGATTTAGACTCAGAACAAATAGTTAGCAAATATTCCTTTTGCTTTATTATGGGAAGGCTAGATCTATGGTTACAAATAAATATAAATTTTTTTTTTTTGAATTTAGGACAAAATATAATGGAATTTGGGCACTTTATTTCTCTCTTTTTTTATTAAATTACTTAGGTCAGCATTGGAGAATAATAGGAATAATAATACAAATATTATAATATGCACATCGCGTGAGCACGTAATTAATTTATGATGTATATAAGAAAACGATTATGTTTGATTACTTTAAATACAAATAATCAGCATCAGTTCCATCTATAGAAGTGAATATACACGTACATTGAATGTAGACAATTTTTTCCTTGAACAATGCCAGACAGACCTATAGTTATAAACAATAAGAGGGAAGTTCTTAACCCTTTACTATTTCACTACTTGAGTACTGTAATAAATATTATTTCATTCTCCACATTCTTAAAGAGAGAAAAATCAATCCAATTATATTGAATATATAACCATAGCCTCTGATATGGTCCTATGAATAAATATTGGCATTTTTTTATAAGTTTGACAAAACTGATATTTGTATACCTAACTTTGGATGTAATGTTCCAATCTTTGACTTTTTAATTATTAAATCTTTGACTTTTTAATTATTATTTTTCTTCCTTGTACGTAACTCAGATCAAAGTTTCTCCATGTCCCTAGTACACGTTTTAATTTTTTTTTTTTTTTTTTTTTTTTTTTGGATAGTAGTACACGTTTTTAATTATTATTTCTTTGTTTCCTAAGGGCTTTCGAGGACAAATCACTAAACCATGTAATGTTTTGGTATAGGCTAAAGCTCTTCCTTAAATTTATATAATATGTAGAGGAGCTTTCCCTCATAGCCTACAGCTCCTCCAAAAACCCTTTAATTTCTCTTAGGGAAGGTATAGAATAAGTGAAAAAAACACTAGGGATACCATGAAAGTGAGAATAGAAAAAGTGCGGAATGTTTAAGCCAATTTAATGAAGAAAATGGCGAATTCTCCTTCAAAATTCACCATCTATTCCTCTTAGTGTATTTGATAAGGTCACTTACCACACCCACATCAGGCTGTTAATTTATCGCCTATCGTCCTCAACAAACCACCCAATGCAACAAATTGAGCTTGGGCTGCAAAGGGCCTTATCAGAATATAGGGAATGGGCAGACAGATTAGGAAGAAAATGGAGAAAGGTGATCCTGTCATGTTTTCTTAAATGCACAAAGGTGAAGTTAGTCGAGGCATCAGTGGACAGCAAGCTTGATGGATTGATGCCTCTAAAGCCATCTTCAATATTACTCAGTCTTCACCCTAGCTTAAAGGATGTTGAGGAGCTTGTGCAAGTTCAGCTCACAAGGTTTACTTGTGGCTCATTAGTGATTGGCTTCACAGCCCATCATTTAGTAGCTGATGGTCAATCCACTAGCACTTTCTTAGTTGCTTGGGGAAAAGCTGCTAGAGGACTTGACATAAGCCCCCTTCCTTTTCATGATCGGACCATTTTTAAGCCTAGAAAACCTCCAATTTTTGAGTTTGAACACAGAGGAGTTGAATTCAAAAGCAAGGTCGTCAAAGATTTTCATAATTATAATAATTGTCTGGATAATAACTTTGCAGATGACATTGTTATCCATAAAGTACACTTCACATTAGCATTTCTTTCCAAGCTCAAATTCAGGGCTTCTCCACCATCTTCGACAAACAACAAACCTTATAGCACTTTTGAGTGCTTAGTTGCAATCAAACCTTATAGCACTTTTGAGTGCTTAGTTGCTCATTTGTGGAGAAGCATAACAAAAGCTCGAGGACTCGGCAGGTTTGAAACCACCAGCGTGAGAATTTCAGTCAATGGTCGCAATCGAATGAGTCCGCCAGTACCGAATGAGTACAATCGAATGAGTCCGCCAGTACCGAATGATTACTTCGGTAACTTGGTGCTATGGGCATTCCCAAGTTCCAGAGTTAAAGAACTAGTGAATGAGCCATTATCTCATGCTGCCAAGCTCATTCACGATGCCATTTTAAAGGTGAACAATAACTACTTCAAGTCATTCATAGACTTCGCCACCCATAAGGCGGAGAACGAAGAAGAGGAATTGGTTCCAACTGCGGAGATGAACAAATCAGCTTTATGCCCTAATTTGGAAGTTGATAGTTGGCTAAGGTTTCCATTTTATGATCTTGATTTCGGAGGAGGTTGTCCATATCTATTTATGCCTTCTTATTTTCCAACTGAAGGAATGTTGTTTCTTCTACCTTCGTTCATCGGTGATGGAAGTATTGATGCTTACGTACCTCTTTTCCAGGATAACGCAGCTACCTTCAAAGAAGTTGTCTATTCACTAGAATAAATACAATTAATGGTTACCACCTTAAAATTTTCTCAGCTTCTAAGATTGGAGTTTTTATATATTAAATAATTGTTTGTTGCCATGTACTTTCTTAAAGGTAGACTGTCTACCTACTCGTAACAATTGCTTAAAGTTAATACTTATTTTATAAATATAATAAGATCATATAGACAAGCAAAGTACACGAGTCCATGCATGAAACTCTGTAATTATTTATTTTTTCTGCGTATTGATTGAGAAAGTTTCTTATCTCTGAAAGTTATATATATATATATATATATATTTGTAATGAAATAATTCTATAATGGTAAATATCAAAATGATTTGTAATTACCCAAAAAAAAAAAAGAAAACACAATATTCAAGAAATTGAGGAAGTAGCTACTTGGTGAAGTCATAATATGTTAACAATCTAGTTAGATGGTGAATATATATATATAATTCTATGAACTTCAGTAAAAGTATAGAAATATAATTCTTCTCTATCTGGTAAATCTTTTAAACTCATTTTACCATAGTCAGGGATAGACTGAGAGGGTTTTAAACTAAAAAATTTTTAAATTTTTTAGAGTGAAAAATTTTTGAAAAAATGATATTTTAGTTTTACTCCCTATAATTAAAAAAAAAAAAGTATTTTTTGACTACTCCTAACTACTTAAGCTAGGTCCTTTACTGACCATATTAATTCTTTTTTACTATTAAATCTTTTTTAATCCAAGCAAATTGTAATTGACTTCTTTTGGGCCTAATCAGCAGATATGGGCTGATGTCAAGGGGTGTCTAGTGTCCGTAATTGACTTGCACGTCTTTCCTGCATGGAATTTAAGTTGAAAGATGATTATACGCACTTACTATCAAACTAATAAAATTAAGAATTTTTATTGAAATGAATGTATTTTTAACTATATATTTGAAAAAAAAAAAAGTCAGAACACTTTTTAAAAAATCTTTAATTTTACGAATTTAATCTATAAATAGGATTATAGACCCGTCTACGTAAATTTATTCCTCTATATATAGGCTTGAACTTCAAGCTATTTGATTCTAGGTTTACAATTCCATCAGCCAAATCAACATTTTTAGGATTACGACCTTGAGGCGGCTAATTGTATTTTGATACGATGGAGATACAAGTATGAGAGTAACTAATTATTTAATCTCTCAATCATAATCAAAATACATTACTCAAGACTTCTATTTTCAGAATTCAATTATATAGTAGTCCTTTTGTTTTGAGCAGGTTACACTATTCAGTCCTCCCATCACTTGTGCGAAACAATTACTATTAGTCGATCCTTCCTAATCTTATTCTCCCTCTTTTCACTGCTTGCCACGTGTCCTCTCAAAATGTATTGTCATCCCTTTTAGCAAAAAAAAAAAAAAAAAAAATGTTATTGTCATCCCTTTTAGCAACAAAAAAAAAAAAAAAAAAATCATTTTTCTCTTTTCCTTTTTGTTATTATATTTCATGTTTATCTTTTCTTGGTTTCTTGATATTAAACTTGCCAAAAGCTTAAATTTCCTTTATGGATAAAAAAAAAAAAAAAAAAAAATCATATTTTCTCTTTTCTTTTTGTTATTATATTTCATTTTATTTTTCTTGGTTTCTTGATATTAAACTTGCCAAAGCTTAATTTCTATGGATTCTTCATTTGAGTTCCTTTTTTTTTTTTTCCTTAAGCATTTTGCTTAAAATTTTTTTGTTATCTGTTTTCAATTAATAGAAGAACGGGAAATAGAAGCTTAGGTTTTAATGCCAAAAGTTGTTAAGAAAGTGAAAATTTGTAAGTGAAACCAAGTCTCTTCCATGCAAAATACATTTTGAAATCATTTTCAGTATAAGAGACTCTAAAATAAACAAATAAAAAAAAATCCAATTGAATAAACAATCTTAGGTGGGATTTACAATAACAGTTTTTATGAAAAACCTCTATTATCAAAATCCAATTGAATAAAAAAAAACCATTTATCCTTTTAGTTGTATTTTTTTATTGTCTTTTAATTGAAGAAAATAGATTTCATTTATCCTTTTGAATATTCGTTTAGTTAGATTTTTTATGCATTTCAATTGAAAAAATATGTTTTTTTTTTTATTTAATCCTGGATTATTGTTGTCCAATAATTTTTACGGTTAATAGATTTTGATGTTCTTAATTATAGGTCTCATTTCAAATTACTTTCTAGAAGATAAATCGAAAACCTTAATTAATGTATTTAAAATGAAATTTAAATTCTTTAATTAATTATGTTTTGAATTTTTTAAAATGTGTGTAAACACTTTACTATTAAACCCTATTAATTATAAATATAATGAAATTAAAATAAATTTTTTTAAATATATCCTTTCTTTTTTATTTTTTTTTAGAGATGATTGTGTACACCTATTTGGACTATTTGCATACTATTATATTTGACTAATATCATATAAAAAGTCTGTCATTTTTAAATGAAATCTTATTAAAAAATATGCTATAAAAGTTTGAATTAATGAAAAAATGGCAATTCGGGTATATTTGCTATCATTTTTATTTTCAGTTTTTCTATATTAAAGATGAAAAAGTGAAGAAATTCAAAAGTTTTTTTATTCAATATTTTATTTTTTAAAAAATTTATGAAATTTTTTTTAATTTTTCTATGATTTAATTGAATGTATTTTTAAAAAATAATTTTATAAAATAGATATAAAAATAATTAGACCTTCGAAATTTTAATTTTTTAAATAAATATATAGGATCTTGAAATTTTTAAATTTAATGTCATATATATCTATCTATAAATTTGAGAGAGGATTTTCTATTACCAATATTATTGTTTGTGTACTGATTTTTAAATTATATATCAATGTTTATGACAGTCTAATTCGCAAGTATATAAATCGCAAATAAATAATAAAGAGTGAGAAGAGTATTATCCCATAAAAATTACATACCAAATATTAAAATTGTGTTATCTTATTATTATTTAAGCAACAATAAAGAGAGTATATTGAAAATAAAAAAATTAACGTAAAACAATGAGAATTAGATCAAGTAAGAAATTGTTTAAAAGAAATCAAAGTTTAAAAAATACTAGGAATTTTGACTTCACTTAATTCTATCCTGCTTTTATATTTTATGTAGATTGGAAGAATAATTATATGCTCTAATTATTATTATTATTATTATTATTATAAAAGGCGTGGAAAATCATTGTTCCCACAACAGTGTTTTCCCTATTCTGCCCATCTTCTTTGTTTAAATTGTGCTTTAGTGAATTTGACTTTATTATCCTTCAATAATCTTATTATTTATGAACAGATAATTCTAATTTTATTAGGTTGTTAGATGTGCACGTAACTCTTGACAATAACAGCTTCAACAACATACATGACTATATATTTATATTGGTATAAAGTTGGTTCATATTTTTAAAATGTATGTGTTCAACCCATTTTGTTATTTTTTAGAATTAGGCTTAGTATTTTAGATTGAGCTTGAATTTTATTTAATTGGAGCTCAATTAATATTATTTTGAGTAATTAATTGATTAACTAATTTTTATTAATTAGTTAATTAATTAATTAAAAGAAAGAGAAAATAAAAATGTGGGCTGCAGTTGAACAAAAAGAGCACTCCTCAAGCGGTCATTCAAGACCAAAGGAACTAATGAAAATGTGTCAGTATATCCTTTTGGTAACCACCTGTGAAAATTATAAAAAGAGCAAGGGAACCCCAGCAAAAGACATAAAAAAATATTCTCCGACGAATTCAATAATCAAATCAAGTTCTCCAACGAGTCAATCAATTTAATTTTAAAGCATTATCTTTATTTTTTCTTAAGAGCAGTTTATTTACATTTCATGTAATTACAAACTTTTATTTCAATACAAAATTCTATTTACTTTTCAAGCGATCAAACTCTCTCTTACAGTTTCCTCTGCCAATTTTATTTTAATCGCACAACTGATGAAGCGTATACCATAGGACCAAACCCACAGTCTAGAAGTCAGATCCAGCGCACTTTATTTTTCAGTTGGTGTACTTCACACAGCTGACACGCTCGCAATTAATTTATAACTCAAGCTGTCAGCCAGCAGATTCGTTGCTGTTTTCTAAAAAAAAAACCAACGGTAAGATATAAGGATATAATTTATTTTTGTTTTATTTTATCACGTAATATACTGTGAGACATAAATTTATTTTAAAAATTATTTTCTTAATTCAAATAAGTATTACTTTAAAAAATAAGAAATTCCAAAGATGTTTAAACCTTATTATGTTTAAACCTTATTTTTAATCTAATAAATTATATGAGTGAAGTTTTTAATTATATTATATTAATTTAATTTAATTGCTACATACATGTTAAATGTACTGAATCATATCCAAAAAATTATATTACCTCTATTCCATAATACTTTTCACATTTGAAAAAATAATTTATTCCAAAATACTTATCACATATGTAGTTTCAAAGAGTAATAAATATTTTCTTTATGTTTATCTTTTGTATATGATCAATAATTATTACTCCAATTTAATGACTTTCTTAGAAAATTAGTATTAAATTAAGGGTGGGTAATGTGGTCAATTTACTTAATAATTTATTGTAACTTAGACCAAACTAATGATTTTCTTAAGAAATATGAAATTTCAAATGTGACCATTATTGTGGAACAAAGATAGTATATAACTATTGACTTATTGTAAGTTATATATAAATGTTTTAATTAAATTTAGTACACAAAATTTTTTAAAGTTATCACACATTTAGTTAACATTATTAAAAAAGGAGGATTATTATCTAGAGCTTATATGTTCTCTCGATTCATTAGATCTCTTCTATGCATAAAAAAATAGTACAAAAACAATGAATGTCATCGGTGATGGTGTCTGTAATTATAACTAGGAGTTTCGATCAAATTTTTCTAATTAATTGTTTAATTTATTATAATCACAATTCATATTTTGATATTAAAATTTATAATTATTAAACATTACAAGTTAATCTTTTACTTTTAATTAAAAAATAAATGATTTAAATAATTCTATTTAACAGTTACATTTATTTATAGACTCCATTTGTTTTCGTAAAATTAGTATATTCGTCGCATATTTCTACATTTCGTTATAGACCAAATTGTAAATAGAAGACTTAATTTGTCGTTTTGATAAGCAAAAGTCATTTTTAATTAGTCGAC